AAATGATTCCCTTCTTTTAAAGCTTGTTTTGTAAAGATTAATTAAACTTCTGTGCAGTTATTTTCTGCACTTTATTGATTCAGGCGTACTTGTACTCTGTAAATGTGTTGAATTATTTACACATCCTGGGCAGCTAATGCTGATATAGAACATGCCCAGTGGGACCTCAGAGCCCTGAAATGCTAAATGTAATCTGGGGATCAGTAACATTCCATTCATAAAATGCATCACCCACAGGTTAATGGAAATCAGCAATAGGCAAGACAATGAGTGGATTATGCAAATACGCTGAAAAGATTTAAGCAAGGGGAGGGGACTACCAGAACCCAATTTGTGTTTTATTTAAAGGTGGCTTAAGGTTTATGGTATACAAAATGATTAAAGCTACTTTGCTAATTTGCTGATGCTCTAAGAAGCACCACTGCACAGGAAAAACTATCAAATTGTGGCTCTTTTGTGTGTGGGTGTGAAGAGGCAAGATGACGGCAAGGAAATTTTTTACAGGAAATGAAATGATAAACGGTATTCTGAAGAAAAACTTGAGTGACTAAATGTATATGATCTTATTGGCATTTCTTGGAAACTAATAAAAGTTGCACCAAACTAAAACGCAATCCTAATATATACTTAACTACTGCTCTGTGAGAAATCAGTCTTTTTATTTTGCATTAAACTTTGGTTCTGTAAAACAAATTTAACTTAAAATAGATGTGCTTTTTGGAAAACCCGTTCAAATTACAGTGTGAAAAGAATAATTTCATTGTTAATTACATCTTAGATACTATTTCTACCAAGCCTCCCGAACAATGGCAACGGAAATAAGTAAACTTCTTTTCAAATTACTGGCTTGAAGATTTCTAAGTGAGAGCAAGGTGGCAGCCGCAGGACAGCCCAGCTGCCTGTAGCCCTTGATCTTGGGGCGGGGGCAGCAGTCAGGGAGGGCGGGGGAGCTTTGCTGAAGCTGGCTCAGCAAAGCCAGGCGTTCCAGCCGGATGAAGTGGCCCTGACATTCTGTTCTCTTTAAGTGGAAAGTGACCTGAAGAGGGACCCCGTTGCAAAGAGCAATAAACCTGTCACCACCATTGACAACTCACTTCTCACGAGCCCACTCACTCTCCCAGCCTCTGACCCTGACTTCAGAACATCCACATAGCCGGCCCTTCCGCTGTAGGTGTATGTTAAGGATATGGGGGCCTAAAGATACTTGGGATAGATGACTCTGCAGGCAGAGCGCTGCAGAAGGTGGGTGCGTTTTGTGTGGGGAGGTTGGGGAGTCAGACACCAGCATAGACAGGCAGATGTCAGGGAAGGGGAGCTGGAACCGTGTTGGTCCTAAAAGTCTGGGGCGTCTGTTTCTATCATCAAGTACACAATAAATACAGGAAGAAATGGGGAAGTCATTTTGTTCTATCATAGAGCTTGTATAATGAAGACGTGATTATGAAATACATTTGAAGTATGTCTTTACTCTTAGGAACCTAATGGTTCTTTTCTGATGACTATATTCGTTCTGTAGATATGTCATCAAAACTTTGGCACCCTTTTCATCACAGTTTGCACCCTTACTGTTTGAGACATTTAAATCATGGGGCTAGGTCATAGCTCAGCAGTTAACATTTTCCCAGACGGGTCCATGCTACCTCAACCCTTCTCCATGGTTCTCCAATCATGCCAGGTAATAGAAGAGGGAACTGTTTTGCAGTTTGGATATTAAATATTTGACTTTTTTCTTTCTCCTTTTGTTTTTGAAGATACTGTTTTCCCTTTGGACGACCCGAAGGTGCCCTGAAAGCTACACTTTCTTTACTTGAAAGGGTATGTTTGGTCATTACTTTATAAATCTTCTTCGCATTGTCGGTTGTTGGGTACTTGAGTTATTGAACGAGGCAGGCTGTCTCATTCTCGCGAGTGTGTCCTCTGAGTCCCTCGCACGTTATCAACTTCTCACCTCTCCTTGCTACATTCACATTCTCCCTGTATCATGCGTCTTCCTCTCCAAAGCCTTTCTAAAACCCGCCACGGCCATCAGTTGATGGCACTTTTTGGTAGTATCTATTTTTCCCACTTTTCTTTCCCCTCGTGAAACAGTCCTTTTTAAATGAAGTATAATTATGTTTTTCAGACTTCACAGTTCTTTTATTACCCCCCCTGACTAATTTGTACTTCTACATGTCATATTCCTTGCACCTGTAAGACCTTATCATTTAACTCAAACATACCATTCATTTTATTCCAGATTCATCTCAGAATTTATTTCAATTCAATCTGGGTGTTACTTTAAATGAACTCATGAATTGTAGAAATTCGTTGTCCCTCAAAAAATAAATAGCCAAAAAGGTTTCATATCGTGCTGAAAAATCATTTAGTAATATAAGTATATTTTCACTTCTATTTTTTTTGTGGCAGACTGGGTTTGAAAAGGGAAATATCATTGTCATCTGTCTATAAAATGATTCACGTGCTCGCTGGCAGCTAGCAGTTGAGTAGTGTGGACAACTCCTCTTATCAGTACTAAAAAGAACGTCTAGAGACCATGGACAGCTCATTATTATTATCCTGGTCCTGATTTATTGACTTCAAGCACTTGCTCTTGTCTGTTTGTCTGCCCAGTGAATTCTAGATAGTGTATTGTTTATTAGCACCTCTATGAAAAGCAAAAAGGGAAGACATTTTGAGTGATTTAAGGACCTGGGAGATGAGAGCTAGAACTAACGGATAAAATGAGTTCTTTGGCTTATATTATAGATTGGTTTCATCTATATATCCCTGTCTTATCCTTGATTGCCATCCGTTGTGTGATTGAAGTACTGTTGTAGTAATCATCTGTTTTATTAGAATTTTTATAATATTAATAGTT